ACCCCCAATATGGGGGGAAGGCCCCTCCTTTGAACCCCCATTATGGGGGGAAGGCCCCTCCTTTGAACCCCCAATATGGGGGGGAAGCCCACCAGGCTCCCTCCCCAGTCTGCAAAAGAGAGGCCCAATAACAGCCAGGGGACCACACTTCTCCCCCCCCCATTGCCAAGGGCTTTGGGACTACCTCCTCCATCCTCCCCAGCAGCCCTGCCCAACGTGCCCCCTCCCCCAGAAGCCTCTGAAAGGGGCTCACCTGGACCAGGGGCCTCCTCAGCTGAAATTCTGGGGTCCCGGGGCTTGGGGGGGGGGTCTCTAGGCCCAGTTGAGACCCCCTATTTCTCCCCCAGCCCTGAGAAGCCCCTGCGGCCATGTCTTCCCTCAGCAGGGCCCCCTCCATGGCCCAGGTGGGGGCAATTAAGGAATTAGAGTCTCCAAGTGGAGCTTTAAAAGGAACAGCCATTATTTTGATATATTTTTTTTTAAAAAATAATTATTTGGGAATTTGGGGCCAGCCTGGCAGGAGGTTGGTGCTTTATTTATTCTTGTAGCTCTGTTTCCTTTGGCTCTCCGTGGCTGACCCTCCAGGCAGGGCAATCCAACAGGCAATAAAAGAACAAGGCAACCCAATGGCAAGATTTAAGGGTGGGGGGGAAGTGTGCCACCACATAAAAGAAATGAAATAAACCAAGGGTCTCCAAACTTGGCAAGTTTAAGACTTGTGGACTTCAACTCCCAGAATTCCTGAGTTACCATGGCTGGAGGAGGAATTCTGGGAGTTGAAGTCCACAAGTCTTAAAGCTGCCAAGTTTGAAGACCCCTGACCCACAGTAACTATTATCTATCTATCTATCTATCTATCTATCTATCTATCCATCCATCCATCTCTATCATCTATCTCTTATCTACCTATCTATCCATCCATCATCTATCTATCTATCTATCTATCTATCTATCTATCTATCTATCTATCTAATCTATCTAATCTATCTAATCTATCTATCTATCTTATCTACCTATCTAATCTATCTAATCAATCTACCTACCTACCTACCTAATCTACCTACCTATCTTATCTACCTACCTAATCTACCTATCTAATCTACCTACCTACCTACCTATCTAATCTATCTAATCTGTCTGTTTAAAAGTTCGGGAGAAAGCCAGCATTTTAAACCTGAGATTGGCACCTGCCGTTATCCATGTGGGCAGACCACAATATAAGTAAAAAATAAAAATAAATAATAGTTAAATTAAAGCAAGCAGAAAAATTACATGGGAAAAAAACCACAATCAATTACAGTGGAAGTAAAAAAAAAAGATGTGAAAGTTGACATAATGGAGAGGCGGGAAATACAGTTAAATTACAGTGAGAAAAAAGTAAGTTTAACGGTAAAAGTACAATAAAGCAGCTTTTTATTACACCCATAATACAAACATAAAAATTGCAAAATAAAATCCAATGCACGCATGACCTTGTAGGTCATCTAGTCCAACCCCCCTGCCCAAGCGGGAGACCCTACACCATTTCTGACAGAGGGCAGTCCAATCTTTTCTTGAAAAGTCCTCGGCTTACAACAGTTCATTTAGTGACCCGTTGCGGCATCCCCATGGTCATGTGATCCAAATTGAGACGCTTGGCCACCGATTCACATTTACGCCGAAGTGTCCAGTGTGACCCCCTTTTGCAACCTTCGGATAAGCAAAGTCAGGGGAGAAACCAGATCCACTTAACAACCATGTGACTAATGTAACAATGGCACTGATCCACTTAAGAAATGAGGCGAGGGTCACAGAAATGTTGGGCTCGAGGGTCACAGAAATGTTGGGCTCGATTGCGATCGTAAACCGAGGACTACCTGTAACAGGAGCCACAAGTTGTGGCCCGCTGGCAGCTGGTGGAGCTAGCAGCAGAGTCAGACAGTAGTGAGGAGGTTGGGGAGGGCTCAGACGAGGGCTCTGCATCGTCGGAGGCAGGGATGGGGCCAGGGCAGGCTGGCAGTCATCAGCTGCCTTCCGGCTCAGGCAGCAGTGAGGCAGGGGAGCTTCTGGAACTGTATCCTAGCCTGCACATGCACAGAGCTGCCCAAAAGTAGGCACAATTAAGAAGTCAGGGTTGACGTGGGAGTAAGGCCACCGGTGGGCGATGAATGGCCCTCATCACATCAGGATTAAAAGAGAAGCAAAAGAGGAGGGGGGCTTTTGCAGGAAGCAACTCGTTCGTGTGTTCGTCCCAGCCTTGTGAAGATCTGTCTGTATAACCCAGCCTTCCCTGTCAGCACCGAGTGTGGAGTTTTACCGGGTAAGCGTTCCAGGGTTGATAAAGGTCTGAGCTCATTAGTGTATCTTTGCAAGACTGTTTGCCAAGCCATTGGCTGACGGTGAATGAAATAAATTTACATTAATGTAATAAAAAGAGGCTTTTGCCGGAACTCAGGATGGACTTATTAATGGGGAGACCTAGGACAGAATGCCCACATGTATAAAACATCTGGTCGAGAAGCATAAAAACATCGCTATGAATTAACAATCGGGGGTCTGTTCTGTGACTGGCTAACCAAGATAGATCTGGGATGACTAAACCAGAGCGACACGAAGGGAATAGGTTGGGTCAGAGGATGCTTCTAGCCCTGGTCCATGGTGTAGCTCTGTAGATGACGCGACACTTGGGCCCGAAGAAGCTGGGCAGGTTGAGACCACAACAACCATCTCAAAGATGGCAACCGCTGCCCCTTCCATAATGGGGTGACCAGGACTAGCAGCCCCCAGGAGCTGAAGCAGGATGATGGAGATGAACTTGGCTTCACTGTAGCTCTTTGGCCACGCCTTCCCCGCATAGGCCGAGCAAAAGCCCAGGGAGGAGAGGACCACGTCAAAGAGATGGTTGAGCACAACCACGGACAGGTCGCTGATTGTGACACGTCAGGAAAAGCTCGGCCGGGTTGCCGCCATTAGGGCAGCCTGGACGGGCTTCGGGGAGCGGTAATGGAGGTTGAGTATCGATGGCGGAAATTGTGGCGAGGAAGACCCACTGCCCTTTGGACGCGGACCAGGAGGTGAAGTTTGCAGGCAGCCAGGCCACCATCTTGAAAGCACAGAGGATCTGGAAGGAACAGGCGGCGGCGCAGGTGAGGCAGACGGTGAAGCAGAGGCTGAACCCGGCCAGGCGGAAGAGACACCAGCTCAGCTGGGACTCCAACATAGCAGAAGACACTGCAGAAGCCCAAGATGAGGGAAAACACCGGCTGATCTCACCCCCGAGGGGTTGGCGCGATGGGCCAAGGTGACGAGGATGCCCAAGGTGGCCGAGAGGCCAGAGGAGCGGAAGAGCAACATGATGGAGACGGGATGGTCCCACTGTAGATACACCACAACCTTTGGGAAGCATGCTTCTTGGCCAGGATGGGATCGGGTGTCTGGCGGGCGTTTCTGGCAGGTAAACCTGTCTAAGGGGAAGAAAAACAGAGAGATGGGTCCCTCGACTAGGCTGGGTCCTGGGGAGGCCAAAATATCTGGGGGCTTGGGGGTGGGTTTGAAGAAAACTCAAAGAAGGAATTTCAAGAAGCTTCTTGGCGGACAATTTTGCCAATGAATTCTTCTCCTCCTCTTCCTCCTCCTCTTCTTCTTCTCTACTTTTCCTCCTCCTCCTTCTCTTCCTCCTCCTCTTCCGTCCCTGCTCACCCTCGAGGACCCCCTGACTCTGAAGTCATCCAACCCTGTCCCAGCGACATCCTGCACAGCCAACCCCAAATACCTCCCCCAGGCTGGAAATGTTGCGGGGGCTGTGGATGGACAGGTCAGTGGGCCAAGGCTTCAGCGGCGACCCACACCCTGCTGGTGAGATCCTGGCCCAGGGCTGCTTCCAAGGCAGCCAGGAGAGGAAGCTCCAGGCTGAGGACTGCCACCCCCACCTCGGCCGTGGTTCCCTGGATCCTGCCCAGGGTGCCTCCTACCCTCTCCTGGTCAGGGGAACTGCTCCAAGCCGAGGGGACGCCTCCCTCAACCGGAAGGGTCTCCGGGAGGGCAACGCAGGCTCGGGGGACCAGGTCGATGATCCCGTTCCACCCCAAGGGACGCCACCGCCGCAGCATGACCGCAACCTGCCGCCTGGCACTCGGGGTGGTGCAGAAAGCGACAGGGAATATCCCAGGGGTTGTGGAGAGCTCCCAGGGTGGCGCCGGAGGTGACCTGAAGGCGAGGAGAGGAGAGTTAAGTTTAATTGCAGATAAGCAGGGCATCTTTTAGGAGTTGCTGGTGGGCCTGTCCTAGCTTGCTAGCCTATCAGGCAAAATACGGGTAGGAATCTATTCCTTTCCTTCTCCTTTCTTTCCTTCCCCTCTTTCCCTTCCTTCCTTCCTTCTCTCCATTTATCCTTCCTTCCTTCCTTCCTTCCATTTATCCCTCTCTCCCTCCTGATGTAAATGTTAATAACTAATATATTAAATGAATGGCCTTTCCTTCCACTTTTCTTCCCTCCCTCCCTCTCATCTGCTTCTCCTTCCTTCCCCCTTCTCCTTTCTTCCTTTCTTCCCATTTCTTCCTTCCTTCCTTCCCCTTTCCTCCCGCTTCTCCTTCCTTCCTTCCCCTTTCCTCCTGCTCCTTCCTTTTCCTTCCTTTCTTCCTGATTCTCCTTCCTTCCTTCCCTCTTTCCTCTCCTGCTTCTCCTTCTTTCCCTTTCCTCCTGCTTCTCCTTCCTTCCTTCCTTCCTTCCTTCCTTCCTTCCTTCCTTCCTTCCTTCCTTCCT